TTGGCTCTATCAGGGGGTACTTCATACAAAAAAAAGTTCTTTTCAGGTATTCTCTCTAGGATCATGGACATCCTGCAGCTTCCATATGAGGTCATCTTCACTGTCTCTTCTATTTGCTGTGTCACTACCACTGCTGTCTCTGTATCTGCCATAGCCTTCCCACATAAAGTCCTGTCACGGAAAAAGAAAAAACAACAAAAACAGTCCCCACAAACACACACCATCACAATCTCCCAGATTCCTCTGTTTATAGCTCTGTTCACTGGCTGACTGGTTGGGACCCCAGTGAGGGAAGCTATGCCCTCTAATCATGGTACTGCATTTCTCATAGCACACTGCCCCCCCCCAGCCTCTGCAAACTAAACAGAAAAAGCACACACACAACTTATGCACTGTCTCTAAGGAACAGCTTGTCTCCTCCTTTCCTCCAACAGAACTCCCACAGAAATTCTCCTGTTTACAGTTCTTTTGGCTGGCTTCTTGTGCTGTTTTCTTCACCCTATGTCTTTGTACATTGGATATGAGCATTCAGACCAGGTTTCTGTGGCTCTGAATAAAGAAGTATGAACATATGAGGGGAGAACAACTTTTGCCTTTGAAAGATTCTGAAATGTACCAGTTTAAGTCATCTAATAACTGAAGCTATAGCACTAGTATTTTAAAAATAGTATGTGGATCATAAGCAATAAACCTAGATATTTTCTGAACTTTATACTGTATTTAATATTGATGTTTTTAGATCTCTCCTGGCATCAAGAGTATATAATTGTGAATGAGAGAGGAAGTGTTCCAAAACTTTATAGAGGAGATGTGTGCATAAGACTCTAAGATTTGATTTGGACTGAAGAAATTTGGGAACCTGTGATGAACATAAGAATGGCCATGCTGAGTGAGACCAAAGGTTCATCTAAACCAGTATTCTGTCCTCTGACAGTAGCCAGTGCCAAGTACCCCAGAGGGAGGATGAACAGAATAAGTGACCGATCCTGTGTCACCCATTCCTAGCTTTTCAGAAAATTCCTGCTCATTCTGGCTAATAGCTATTGATGGACCTATCCTCCATGAATTTATCTAGCCCTTTTTTGAAGCTTTTTACAAAAATCTTGAACTTCACAACATCCTCTGGCAAGGAGTTTCACATGTTGACTGTGCATTGTGTAAAAAAACACTTCCTTTTTTTGTTTAAACCTGCTACCTACTAATTTTGTTTGGTGAGCCCCTACTTCTTGTGTTATGGAAAGGAATAAATAACTCTTCTTTTATTCACTTTTTTCCTTGCCAGTCATGATTTTATAGACGTCTGTCATATCAACCCCCCAGCTGTCTCTTTTCCAATCTGCAAAGTCCCAGTCTTATTAATCTCTCCTTATATGACGGTCATTCCCCTAATAATTTTTATTTCAATTTTCTGAACTTTTTCCAATGTCTATGTAATGTTTTTGAGATGCACACAGTATTCAAGTTGTGGGCATACCATAGCTTTGTATAAAGGCAATACTGTCTTATTCCCTGTCCCTTTCTTAATGATCCCTAACGTTCAGTTTGCTTTATTAATTGCCACTAAACATTTAGTGGATGTTTTCAGAGAACTATCCACAATGATTCCAATATCTCTTTGAGTGGTAACAGCTAATTTAGTCTCCATCATTTTATACATATAGTTGGGATTATGTTTTCCAATATGCATTACTTTGCATTTATCAACATTAAAATTCATGCTATTTTGTTGCCCAGTCACCTAGTTTTGTGAGATCCTTTTGAAGCTCTTTACAATCTGCTTGGACTTAATATCTTGAGTAGTTTTGTATCATCTACAAATGTTGCCATCTCACTGTTTACCCCTTTCTCCAGATCATTTATGATTAGATCCTCAGGGTACAACCTGGAAATGTGGAACTACTATGCTTCCTTAACTTTCCAGCCTTGGCTTTCTCTTACTGTGCTTCTGCCAGTGACAAACAGCAAATCCCTCCAGGTGCTATTATCACTCAGCCACCATCTTGCAGACACACACCCAATTAAGTAGCATGAATCCTTTCCAAGTCACTCATCAGCTTAGTATAGGGAAATACCAGCAAATATCCCAACCCCTCAGCCTTACATCCCAAAAATATACTGCCTTACACCGTTCAAGACTTTTTCTTGTATAGTGCAAGCAAATTAATTAGTTTGCCACTTTGTCAAAGGAGAGTGGGCATGCACCAGCCTTTGTAATCTGAGCAGATTCTCCAAGCACTTTAGACAATCTTATTGGTAAGGATAAAACAGTAAAGTAAGTCTCTTAACTATAGAAAGATAGCAATATCCAGTGAGAAAAACTATGAGGTTAAAGTTCTTCATACACAGGCTGAATTCCCTTCTCAGCCTGGGACCAACATCCTCAGTTCAAAGTGTTTGCCTTCCCAGCATTGTTTTTGCCTTTAGCTTCAGTAGGAGAGGAGAGGTGTGGCTTCATGATGCCACTGTCCCTTATTTTATTCTCTCAGTTCATGGCCCTTGGAAGATACTGGTCCAGATACGTCCTGGTGGGCCTTTTTGAATAACAGAGTTCAGCAGACTTCATTGTTTGGACAACAGAGTCATAGAGTTGAGCAGTCCTTATTGCGTGGTGCTTGCACAACTCTCCCTTACTACAGTGGTTCTCAACCTTTTTCTTTGAAGCTCTTTTGAAATGCTATAAAAAACCACATGACCCACTTGTGCCACAACAAATGTTTTTCTGCATATGCAGTAAATAAAAACCATAGCCAGCATGAGGGGGTAGCAAGCAGGGCTACATTCCTGAGGCTACTGGTGCTGGCTGTGAGGGGACACCTAGGGTGGGAGCCCCATGCCAGTAGGGCCTCTACAAAGCTAGGTTGACTTCAACCCCATGCAGCAAGGGTTAAGCTTCAGATTTCTTCCTGGGTCTCTGTGACTCTAATGCTGTCCCCATTCTCAGGTGTTTTTTTGTTTGTTTTTTTTGACAGACCTCCTCTCCCCCTACCCCCAAAACCTAGTTGTGGCTCCACAGGGGACTTCAGACCCCTGGTTGAGAACCACTGCCTTACTGAATTGTAGAAATCTTGTCTAAAATATCCATTGACCAGCAAGGGAATTAAACACCTGCCAGAGAGTGGGTCACCCACCTTTGTCATCGCTGGAGAAATAGCAGTGGGCAACTCTGAAACTCACACCATATTTCAATAACAACCATATAGCAAAATCTCATAACTTCATACATACTAACAATATACCTATTTTGATAGTGCATTGTGTTTCAGAAGGTCATGTCCTTTCATATGGCATATTACATGGCATGCTTTGTATTAAATATCACAGCCATATATGAATGAATGTGCGGGGGGGAGTGTTACAATGTGCTACTTTGAGGTACGGTGTGTCACAGACTTCCTGGAATATCATTCTTTGTTTTGTCCTCGAACATTGTGTTAGTGATGTTTTGTGCTCTTTAAAATTTAGTGCTTTAACAAGTGCCAAGAGAGGCAGTCATATTCCAGTTGTGGAAATGTATAATTTATAACTGGTTTAAAAAGGCTGTTAATTACTTTGTTTTGCAAAGAAAGTTGCCTCTGTACTTGATACGCAGTAATTACTTACAGTGCAAAAGTAATTCATAGAATTGGACTTTGCCTGTGAAATTTCAGTTCAGCATTTAATTGTTTCAGCAAAATTGCCATTTTTTTAGAAATGTAAAATCTGTCGCCATATGTGCATTTCCAGAATGTAGTGTACTAGGAGTTAAGATTAAACAGCCTGTGAACTCGTTTAAAGAGAGTGATGGTCAGTCTATGTACTTGCCAGCAAGGTACCGTAAATATACACTCACCTCTCTTTCTAACTTGAAACCGTCAGGTCTTCAGACCACTAGCGATTTAACTGGTATGGGGCTGTTCCAGCCCGGCTGGGCCCACTGGGCCACACCATGGCCTGGGGACACTCTGGTCCAGCTTGAGTAGCCCCAACTCGTGGCAGGCTCAGTCCGGCCTGCCTGGAGCAGCTCACTGCACAGCAGGTACAGTCAGGCTGGAGCAGCCCCCCACCCACACCACAACATGGGTGGGAGAGCCACTCTAGTCTGGCTGGGCCTGCTGGGCCACTCCATGGAATCCCGATTAACAGATTAAATGGGATTTTACATCCCTGCAGACCACCCCATCTAACAGTAATGTATAACATGTGACTTTTGAGCTGAGGTAGGAGTGGATGGTAAAATTAAAGGTACAAGCTGCTGAATGTCCTCAGCTACCGTTATAATCCTGTAACAGCAAGACTGGAACCTTAATAGGGTTTTGAACCAGACAGTCTGGTATTCGAGGGTTCTGTCCAGGAAAAAATTAAGAAAATACCAGATACCTAATTAGAAAATACCAGACATTTTATGTAAGTTTTATTATTATTAGGAGTATCAGTACCTAGTTGTGTACTGCTTGGCTGGTAGACACACTCACACTCATCAGGCAGTACGCAACTATGCCGGAGGGGGGGGAGGGAATCCCTGGGGCTGGACTCGCTTGTGCTTCACCGGGACCGTGCGCGGGATGGGCAGCGTCCCAGAATCTGTGTGCACCCGGGTCAGTCCTGCTTCCCGCTGGCCGATTCTCTCCCCCCCTTCCTCCTGACCCCCTTCCAGCCAGCTCCCCCACCTGATATTCCCCGACCAGCCCTGCTTCCCGCCAGCTGAGTCTCCCCCCGTCCTCCTCCCGATCTCCCCCAGCCAGCTCTGCTCCCTCTGACCTCCTCCTGGCCAGACCTGTTTCCCGCTGGCCAGTCCCCCTGCAATCTCCTCTGACTCCCCCCCTCCCCTTCCCGTCAGCCCTGTTTCCTGCCAGCCGGTTCCACCCCTGGCCACATCCTCCCGGCCAGCATTCCTTCCCCCCACATCTGAGATCAAGTGTGTCTGGCATTTTTTTTAAGCCACCTGGTAACCCTAGAGACCTAGTATTGTGTAGCTTTTGAACCCTGCATGGAGAGAGTCTAAATTTGTATGACTGTTTCAGGCACTGCTAGATAAGAAGAATAAAGTTAAGGAGCCAAAGAAACCCCTTCGTTTTCTTCAGAAGATAACAAAACTTGTTCCTCGGCCCCTAACTCCAACACTGCCAAGCCCATCACTTGTAAGTTGGATGTTTTTAGATGTTCTTGTGTTCTTGCTCTCTAAGTCCTGTTTTAGTCACTATCAAGTTACTCAAGGGGTGTCCAGGAAAACATGGGAGCTAGTTAGTTTTGTCTTCTGTACTGTGTTTTCTTCTTAAAAATAAAACTGACAGACTGTGTAGCGTTAGACTTGTGCCTACTTACTGCACTATGAGAATCTTGCTAGGTTCAGGGAATCAGTTTTAAGAAGCACGGAATTCTCCATTAGACTATAATATTAATCCAAAATAGATCTAGGCTGGATGGGTTAGTGTTTGGTGGATCTTCTTACACCCCGTACCTTATCCCTCCTACAACCGAAGAGATGTTCCCTAAGGGTGGTTAGGATTTTTTAAAGCAGGTTCCAGGGTATGTGTTTTCATGAGTATTTTTCCAACACTGGCCATTCCTGTTTCGCTATTTAGATATTGTGTGACCTCATTATGATAGTTTCAGTACCTCTGAATTTTACCCAAATAAATCCTACTATCTTCCTGTCCAGTTCTTCAGCTGAAATTGGAGCATAAAGCCCTACTTGGGTAAAAAAAAAATAAAAGGATATGTATGGATACGTCTACACTTGCCCCCTACTTCAAACTAGGGAGACAAATGAAGATTACTGAAGTTGCTAAGGAAGTGCGGGATTTAAATATCCCGTTCTTGATTAGCCTAGTCGTGGCTGGTCGCCATTTTGGAAATTGACCAGCCCAATTTAACTTGCCGCATATAGACGCGGTAATCCAAGAAAAACCCCTTAACTCAGATTAACTGGTACTCCTCATTTGAGTTAAGGGGTTTTTCTCGGAGTACCAGTTAAATCGGGCTAGTCAATTTCCAAAATGGCAACCGGCCGTGACTATGCTAATCAAGCACAGGATATTTAAATTCCACACTTCATTAGCAACTTCAGTCGCCTTCATTTGCCTCCCTAGTTCAAACTAGGGGGCAAGTGTAGATGTACCCTATCTGATCCAAAACGATGGCAAACAATACTTCTTCGAGGAGCATCCCTATAGGTGCTCCATCTGAGATGTTTGTGGTGCCGCCGTTCCTCTAGTTGGAGAATCAAGGTAGCAGCGCCTCTGTGGGCTGTGCACGTGAGGCAGCCATCCTGTGGCTACCCCACATGCACAGCCAACCATCCCTTCAGTTCCTTCTCTGCCGCCATTAGCTTCAGTCAGACCAATAGTTGTCCTCAATGATTTCTTAGATTTATAGTTAGAGTTATTCAGTAGTTGTTTGTTAGGTTTTTAGATTGTTCTTATAGTTTAATGAATAGCTTAATTTTTTTTTTTAACCGTTCCTGCTTTTGTGGCAGTTTTTTTTTTTTTTTGGGTGCCTGGATCCCTAGGATTTAAAAGGTGACTGTCCTGCAGACTTTCCATCCCAGTATTGACAAGACACTCTCAGTGAGTCTGGTGTCTGGGTCAGGCATATTCAACTAGCAAGTGTGAGAATTTGAAACAGCGCATGGCACGGACAAGAAAGATCAGAGAGGTCCAATTGAAACTCTTGCTCCTAGAGAACTCAGTGCGCCCAGCCCCTGACCTGGAGCTCATGACACCACCCAAACAACCATTTCCGATGCCAGTGTCAGAGAAGGCAGCTCCTTCAGAGTCAAGCTCCACAAATTCTGCCTCAGCACATTCCTCAAAGAAGTGCTGTCACTCCTCATCTTGGGGTGATTCCCCCTCAATAAAGTGCCTCTAAGAAATGCCTCTGGCACTGGCAATAACCAAGGTACTGGATTGGGAGGCACCGGGCATGTCCTGAGGAGCTAAGAGGATTCGGCATAGGTCAGCTCTAAGGTGCCTGGCAAGGCAAAGTCTAAATGGGCCCTGTCGTCACCGACACACACTCCTTTGGCATTGACAAAGCCATGCCCCTGCTCTGCACTAAGCCCTTCCATGCCACTGTCTGCTGCCCTGTCAAAGCAGTTCAGGCACTCAGCACCACTGATGTAGCAGACTGTATTGACCCCAGCACCGATCCCCTCAGTGCTGCAGTCTTTTAAAATCAATGAAGACCTCTGTCACCTGTGCGCTGAGTACCCCACTTTTTGGCACCCCAGCTACATTCTTGCTTCAACCTATTGGCTACACCAGCAAGACTGGCAACTCTGCTATCCAGCAATGAGGAGGAAGAGTCCTTTGTTGGCCTCCACATCCCCCTGGCCCTCTTCCTCAGAGCCAACCCAGCAGCCACCACAGTGATTACCCCCACCGATGCAAGTACCTTCAAACTGGCCTTATTGGAACCTATGGGTCATGTATAGGTCCCAGCACCCTCAGCCTGCTCCACTGCCTGTCACTTCTTACAGACCACAGGCTTCTTCGGGCCTTGTGGACCCAGGTAAGACCACATGGCAGACTCCAGCCACCATTCCTTCAGTCTGCATGAGGTCAGATAAGAAATATTATGTGGCACCTCAGGGGACAGACTTCTTATTTTCATACCCCACTCCCAAACTCCTTAGTTGTAGAGGCAGGGAACCAAAAGGAGAAGCAGAACACTGCATGCACTACAGCCTATGATAGGGATTGGAAGTGGCTGGATTTATTCAGAAGGAAGGCATACTTGTCATCCACCCTCCAGTTCAGGAGCACAAATTATGCTGTTCTACTTGACAAACAAACGAATACATGCACGCATGCACAGAGTGTTTGGGCAAATGTCATCTTTTATAGAACATTTGCCAGACAACAAGAGAGAACAAAATAGGGTGCATAGTAGTGAAGGAGCTCTTACTTCCCATACTGCACTACAGGCTGTTTTGGACTCAGTGGATACAGCAGCGCAGTCTATCTCCACTGTTGTAGTTATGAGGTGAGCGTGTTGGCTACACTTATCGGGGTTCCCCAGAGAAATCAAGGTGACAGTAGAGGACCTGCCATTTGAAAGATCAGAATTATTTGCTGAGTCCATTGACACATCTCTCCACACACTGAAGGACTCAAAGTCTACTCTTAAAACCTTGGCAATACATATACCTGGAACCAAGACAGATTCTTTACACAGAGATGTAAGACCACTCCATTCACTCAACTACAAAGGCAATATGATAACAGGCATAGGAAGCACCAAACTAGGGGCAGGCAACCCATAGGTCAATCATCAACTTCCCAACTTTCAACATTGAGACAGACCTTTTAAGACTTGGTCGAGGGCATGATGGCCCTGATCTCTCCAAAGCACCATCTGGACATTGCTGCCCATTTGGCAACTATCTGGAATCCTTTTACCCAGCCTAGAATACTATCACAACAAACAAATGGGTGCTAGAAATTGTACAGACCAGTTATTGCCTCCCCTTTTCATCTTCCCTCCTCGTCCCTGTTGAGGAACCCATCTCATGAGATTGCTTATAGCCAAAAAAACGGGAGGATGTAGGCCCATACTCAGTCTATGCAACCTTAATCAGTTAATTTGCACACAGTGTTTCAAGAGGGTAACCCTATCTACAATAATCCCTGCCTTGGAGAAAGCAAGCTGGCTGTTGACCCTCGACCTACAGGATGCCTATTTTCATACTTCAATACAGCCAGCACACAGAAGATACCTACAGTTTGTGGTTCACAATTGCCACTTCCAATACAGAGTCCTCCCATTCGGTCTGTCTGCAGTCCCTCGAGTATTTTCCAAGGTTCTTGTGGTGGTAGTAGCACATCTCCACAACCTAGGAGTGATAATTTTTTCATATCTGGATGATTGCCTTTTGGAAGCCTCAACCTATGATGACACAGAATGAGCGGTCAGCATAATCAGAACCCTCTTTGACAAGCTCAGCCTACAACTAAATCTTCAAAAGTGCAAGTTAACTCCAACGCAACAGTCGGAATTCATTGGAACTCACTTAGATTGCAGGTGAGCCATGGGCATCACTCCTTCGTCAAAGGTTTCTTGTGCTCACAGACCTGGTGGAAACAACACAGAACAGCCCTCAGATCATGGCAAAGTTTTACCTACAACAATTGGGCCACATGGCAGCAGCCACATTTCTAGTCCAATATGGTCACTGCAATCAGAGTTACGAACAGTATACAAACCTCACTTTCATCATATCAACAGGTGATGTGCTATGCCAACCAAAATAAAACAATCCCTAATCCTATCATGGTGGACAAATTAACACAGTGTTTGCAATGGAATTCTATTTCATCCCGAGGCACTGTCAGTGACGCTTTCACAACAAGGTGGGATGCATCCATCATGTATACTTTTCCACCAATACTACTTTTCCATCATTAACTTCTCAAGATAAAGCAGGACAAGCCACAATCATCCTAGTAGTGCCCTGTTTGCTCAGACAGACTTGGTATCCTTACCTCCTTCATATGTCAACAACGACTCCATGGCACTTTCTATTGCTCCCGCATCTCCTTACACAGAATGAGGGTCATCTAGGTCTCTCCAACATACCAACTCTATAGCTTCCGGCATGGCTCCTTGCTGGCTCACAACAATAGAAGCATCTTGCTCTGCACCTGTAGAAGAGATCCTTCTGAACTGTTGCAGGCCATCTACCAGAATATTATACTTATATAAATGGCACAGATTCTCTAGTTGGTATCACAACCAGCAGGTGGTACCCACATCAGGCTCACTCCCCCATATACTTGAATACCTGTTATTTCTTAAAACCACAGGGATTTCCCTCCATTCTTTAAAAGTACACTTGGCTGCTCTTCATCTTCCTATAGAAGATAACTCTGTCTTCACTTATCCCACCACCAAACACTTTATGAAGGGTGTTCAAAATAACTACCCACCAATAAAGATCCCAGCTCCACCCTGGGACCTCACCTTAGTGCTGAGAACATTAACAGGCAAACTATTTGAACCCCTGGCCACCTGCTCAGTGCTACATCTCTCCATAAAAGTGGCCTTCCTAGTAGCCATCATTTATGGCTGGGCCCCCCCCCCCCCCCCCGTGGTTCTTCGTCCACACCCCAAATTTCTCCTGAAAGTACCTATCTCTTTCCATTGTCATGAACCTATATACTGATCTGTTTTCCCCTGAAACCTCACGTGGACAACAGGAGGCAACTCTGTGTACACTAGATGTCCACAGGCCAATTGTATTTTACTTAGAAAGAACTAAGCCACTCTGCAAATCTGCAAGACTCTGTATATCTCTTTCTAAACAAAGGCTTTCCAAATGGATTTCTGAATGCTTACAACTCACTTACCACACCTTTAATCAGGAGCCTCATCTACATCTACAGACACATATGGATTTGCAGGGCTCTTCTCAACTGGCCTAATTAGATGGGTAGCCCTTCAGGCTAGCTCCTGTTTCTTATGCTTTCAGATCTTCTTCAGGACTGCCAAATGTCTTGCACTCATGCATGCAGGCATTGAACTTAGGCATGCAGAAGTCTCATCAAGCCTCTGCTGCTAGAATCTCCTATCATGCAGGGATGGGTTTCTTTTGCAGTTACCTCTCCTTGCTGCCAGGGCTTTCTATGAATAAGATGATGCTTCTGTCACAACCACTATGAGGACACTGGTTGGGAGATGAACATTTCAGGAGGCTGTATATGGGAAGATGAAGTGACAGGGACAGAGGGGAAGATTAACAGAATGGAAGAGACTAATTCAGGCCTCCACAACTTATCCCCTTCCCCTCACAACAGCTTGACAAAGAACCGTAAACTGTATCAAATGACCACCGTGAATTACGGAGAAAATCCGAGAACTAACATAAGACTGTGACCTAGAGAGACAGGCCCTATGAAAAGACCTAATGTACTTGAAACCTGATAGGATCTCCCTGTGGAAGATGGGTGACACCTGGTAAGGCAGGCAGGTAGTCATATAATCTATCAGGATATGATTTCTCAGGTACTTCTTGTTCTCTAAGTACCAAGTCTAGAAGAAGTAGATTATAGGATATTGACCTAAGAAAGGTGACAGCTAGAGACTTGGTGTGTGTTTGGGCCTATAAATTTATTCTGATAGTGACCTCAACTGTAAAAAATGAACAAACATTTATAACGTGTCACAATTATCTATAATAGTAAATGCTGATGGGGTGTGCATGTAAGACAAAAAATTCCTAGTGCTATAATTCATAAACTGTGCTAAGGCCATTCCAGGTAAACAAGAAAAGTGAGGGACTGGAAATCAATGAACCAAAATTGACGAGTCAGGAATTAGCTCCAATTTGTGGACAACAAAATGAGGGGATGGGCCATTCCATCCATCACTCCCCTTTGGGGTCCTGAAAAAGAGACTGTGGAGGAAGCTGGCTACTGCAACTCTGACTGACTGAAAGATGGCAGCCATTGTGACTGCCATCCCCCACTGTCTTCTGGAACTCTATCTTCTTCATCCTAATCCTAACCACAGAGCGGGAGCCAAATGATATCACTGCTTCCACTGGCTCCAGCTCAATCCCAGCCACTACCCAGGATATAAAACTTTGTTATACACAGCCCTGTAGGAGGAAGAGAGCGTGGGACATAAGCCCTTGTTTCAGAGGCCTGATATGAGGCAGAACCTGCTCACAGAATATGGCAAGAACAGAGCTCATATTGCAGAAGTATACATTCCTAAGAAGCGCTAGTCACAGAGTGCTCAGGCAAACACATCCTGATATCAAGTGGCACTGGAACATGCCGATATCAAGGACATTCCCCAAGGTAATAGGAACACACTGTCCCTTCTAAAAATAAGGTCAGCATGATAGTTTTTTTAATCCATATTTTAATTCTTGCCATCCTGCACCCCTAATCATTTATGTTACTCTTCTCTGAACTCCCTTTTGAAATCTCCAGTGTAAATTTTTGTATAGTCTGTCTCATATTTTTAAAATATAGGAATATATATTTTTGTCATCTTCCAGCCTCTGGAAGTCAGAAGCGCGATGATCAAACTCTCTGAGAAAATAGGTATATCATTTGTATTCTGAGAAAGATAGTTGGATGGATGGCTCACTCAGGTTTCCTTCTGGTTCCTCCCTAAAATAAATACATAACTGTAACTATATTATTTTTGTGTGTTGGCAGAGAGAAGAGGAGTTCGAACTGGCAGTGATCTTTTTGCAGAAGTTAATCCGAGGCAGAGCTATTCAGAACATGGTATTCTGTGTCCTGTTGACTATTTCTGTCTTCAAAATGCTGAAAGATGTTATTGAGGGTATATTAAAAATCTGTTCCCAGTAGCACTGAAATAATCCAGGCCTAAGGCGGTTGAGCAATGTGTCCTCCTATCTTTACTCCATATCTTTGTGAGGCTGAGGGTCCTTGTTCTTCATCCCAAATTTCTGACTGGAACTCCTAGGTTCCTGTCTGTGGAACTTGTTCCCTGAGGATGTCCAGAGACTGCTGATATCCTTTATGGCCGTATTTAGAGTTTGATATTGGGCTTTTCTGTACAGGTATGGTCACTTTTGATCATTTTGCTCTCTTGGGGATGGTGTCTGTTTTATAGACCTGCAGCTTCTTTGTGTACCATTGATATTAATTCTGTTGTACTTATTATTGTTTTATCTTTTATACAGCACCCAGGTGTGAGATAATAGCTCTTTGTCAATAAGAAATGCAGTTTTGAAAAAGGTTTGATATGAAACTTGGATTTCCTGAGTTTTTTCCCTATTGGGAGTGATCTGATAGGAAAGATGTCTTTGACTCCATTGCAGGGATATTGATGATCACAAAAATTTTGAGATTCTCCCCACCAAGACTTCCCATCATTTTTAGAGGCTTCTCACCAGCAACTGCAGTCATCTCTGAAATTTCTTTCTGCTTGGGGTGTGAGGTTTTGGACACATGGGCTGATGGGTTGGACTACTTTTCCTATCTGTTACCCCAGAGTGTGTGTTTCCTATCTATCACCCCATTCTCCAACAGATCCTCCGCACCACACCACACTTGCACAGCAGGGAAGCAGTCACTGCCAATAGGGAAAACAGAAGGGATTGGATCTGGGAATATCATACAGGACAACAGAAGCATCAGCACCCTCCCCACAACCTTGCTGCTGTTGCACTGAATGACACTAAACAATCTGAACAAACCTTAATCCCCGGAGGAGGGGAGGAAGAGGCACCCTCGCTATTCCTCTGCCCTTCTTCTGGGTTTATGTATGAGGAAGGGGAGCAGGCAGTGGATATTGGAACAGGAGAGAAGGAAAATGGCCTGGTTCAGGTAGAGATAGGGGCAGGAGTCATCCAGAGGAGAGAGCTGAGGAAGTGTGCAAGAGGATGCATGGTGGAGCCAGCAGAGGAGGGAGCAGAGAGAATGTCACTCCTGTTACTCAAAAGGAAGAGAGAATTGGCTCACCCAGGTTTTTTATAGTATTTAATATATATGTGAGGTTGACATTTCTAAAAAAAATCAGTACATTGGGAGGTTTAAGGGGGAAACATTTGATTTTGTTTTTGTTTTTAATTAATGAGGTTGGCAGTTCTGCCAGTAATTTAAAGTCCATTCCAGCATGTATTCAACTCTACCGCTTCTGGATGTACAGAGATCTGCTATGTTTTTTTGTCATGTCCTCTAGTGGCTAGAGGACTGGGTAAGTCCTAATTCAACTGAAAGTACATTGGGAGGTTTAAGGGGGAAACATTTGATTTTGTTTTTGTTTTTAATTAATGAGGTTGGCAGTTCTGCCAGTAATTTAAAGTCCATTCCAGCATGTATTCAACTCTACCGCTTCTGGATGTACAGAGATCTGCTATGTTTTTTTGTCATGTCCTCTAGTGGCTAGAGGACTGGGTAAGTCCTAATTCAACTGAAAGATAATGGAGGTTCTTCTTTGAGTAATTAGTAGAGATCTGCAGCAGAAGAGCCTGAGTTCTGTCCTTCATCCAGCACACAGAGGTTTAACTGACAGCTAATGGTGTGTGTTTGGATATGACTTTGGATTCATTACAGATGGTTTTGTTTCCTGTCCGTAGCACCAAAGATTTTCCTCCAAGGTTCAAGTGCTAAAGGCAGAGAATATGTTATTAGAAACAGATGACTCCAGCTTTGGAGGAAAAGGGTATTTTCTTTTTGTAAAATGCTCTGGTTTTATCTTCCATTTAATTCCCATGGCTGTTAATTATATTTGAAAGATGTTTGAAGGCAAAGAGAAGCGATTGGAACTGATCCGGGAACTGCGCACCACTCATGCTCTTCAGGAGGATGGGAAGCTGCTTAAGAGGGCAGAGAAGCAAGTCACATTGGCCTTACAGCGACAACGCGACTTGCATGAGCACAAGGTTTGGCTATTAAGCTAAAGATAACACACACCCCACTCATGCATTCCTACATACCTTTTTAAATGTCTGTTTCTTTCTTGTAATGATACCAGTGTATTTATAGAAATTGAATGTATTATCCACATTGCAGAAGCCATCACAGGTGCTGCCAACTGGCTTCTTTGCTGACGACAAGGATTGAATGGACATGGGCACTCACTTTTCTATCATTGCTGTAAAGGATCCCATACTGAGAAATTTGCATAGCTGCTGCCCATTCTGTACCTGCTTTGTGGCTAAACAAAGAACTTCAACTTCCAGGGCTCTAAGTGCATGAAAAACGTGCCTCATCCTGCAATCCTCATTCCTTTCAGATTATGATCCACATGATTGACGTCGGCTGACTTCTCTGCAGTTGATAAAGACCTTTTCTTCAGTTGGCATAGTGATGCATGCATGTCGCCCCCTCAGTAACCCATTTTGCTGAACAGATTTTGCATCATAAGGGTACATCTACACATAGAGCTGGGGTGTGTTTCCCATCTTGAAGAGGCACACTTGTGCTAGTTCTCATTGAGCTAGCATGTTTGAAGTCAGATGTAGCTATGGCAGTATAAGTAGCAGGAGGAGCTAACAGCCCCGAGTGCTTGCCCATCGGAGAGGCTAGCTATGTACTTTGGGAAGCTAGTCCTATTGCAGCTCATGCTGCCATGGCCACATTCTATTTTTAGAGTGTTACCTTCACTAGCACCGATCAAGTTATGTCTCCTCAGTCTGCGATTCACTTCCTCACCTTCAGCTGCAGACATGTCCATAGTTATAGGCATCCCATCCACATGAACACCACACCCTCTCAGGCTTGAATCCCTGTAAGCTGTGCACTTGTGTGGCCACTCAGGAGAGATGCCACCCAGCTGATTAGCAGAGCACCCACAGCTAGGTGTTTTGTTTCTGCTGGTAGTGCACATCTGCACATTCCTCAGTAGACATAAAAATTGATTCTGCTCATGGATGGAAAAAATCTGCACATGGATGGAAACAATTAGAGGGAACATTGGTCTGGACCCCTCCTGCTGGTCTGAATTGATTTGAGATTTGACACTTTCAGTCTCTTTCTATTCACTTCCAACCTTTTAGCAGAGCAGTGACGTTCTAGGATTACTAGATGCTGCCTCATGTAGAGAGGGCAGAACTGTAGGACTCTAGGCATAAAACATATACAGTACTATGGGGATGTAGTTGAATAATCCCTTTTATTGAACTAAGAAAAAGTGAAATTTAAAAGCCCTGAGATTTGGAGACTTAAAGTGTCCCTTCCCCAAGCCCTGGGAAAACAGAGCTAAGGCATAGGGAGATTGTAGCAGCAGGTCAATTCAGTCTACATAATGACATTCAGAGAAAAAGAGATGAAAAGATAAAGATAGAGATCTGTTTGATCTCATGTTTCAGAATCTCATTGTGGGATCTGAACTAACCCTTGCTGGCATTTCCTCCTCCCCTTCTTTGCTTTCCCAGGGTTTGAGAAAAAAAGAAAGTTCTCCCAATTTCAAGGCTTTTAACTTTAGTTAACACATACTACAAAGTTGTAGGTGAACTCTGTAAGTTCCATGCATTTTTCTTCATGGGAAGATAGACTACATTTACATGGAGTAATCTCTCTGAGGTGTCTATTATGCCGTACAATTAAGACAGTGTGACAGGATCAGGTTAAAGGGCTACAAAAGAGTGCTAGAAGGAAAGTATGTGAACCTTAGACTAAATAGGTCTCTGTTCCTTGGGTAAACTGGCAGGTGGAACCAGGAGGAACTTTCCAGAAGCAGTCTGGACAATCAGGTCAGTTAGAACATCTGGGCTACATCTAGACTGGCAAGTTTTTCTGCAAAAGCGTGTGCTTTTGCGGAAAAACTTGCCAGTTGTCTACACTAGCCGCTTTGAATTTGCACAAGAACACTGACGATCTAATGTAAGATTGTCAGTGTTCTTCTGCAAATACCATGCTGCTCCCGTTTGGGGAAAAACCTTCTTGCGCAAATGTATTTGCGCAAGAGGGCCAGTGTAGACAGCTCAGGACTGTTTTGCGCAAAAAAGCCCCGATGGCGAAAATGGCGATTGGGGCTTTCTTGCGCAAAACCGCGTCTAGATTGGCACGGACACTTTTCCGCAAAAAGTGCTTTTGTGCAAAATCATCCATGCCAATCTAGACGCTCTTTTCCGCGAATGCTTTTAATGGAAAAACTTTTCCGTTAAAATCATGTGCGAAAAATCATGCCAGTCTAGACGTAGCCCTGGAGTTATTTAGGAGCTTTCTAGAGCAAAGGGAGTCAGGCTAATTTGACCACCTGGGGCCAATCAAGATCCAGTTAAGACTGTTTTTAAAAGGGTTCCTCTTTTAGTTAAGTGGCATGTGAGGACGGAATGAGCAAGCAAGCCGCTCGCTCTTGCCAAAGTGCTGACAGTGAGAGGCGTTTGGGTGGGAGCTGCAAGGCAGGAGGAGCGTGTTGGAGGATCAGGTACCAGAGGAAAGGTACCGGGAGGGATCATTTGGGGAAGTGGCCCAGGGAAGTAGTTGCCAGATGGGAAGTAGAACAAACCCCACCTGTTGCTGCTGCCTAAGGGTCCCTGGGCCGGAACCTGGAGTAGTGGGCATGCCCAGGTTTCCCCCAGCCTTTCCCATACCACTGCAGAGCCTGACGCTGGATAGGGAGACCAGGACTATCAAGGGGTTTCACCCCCATGTTATGGACTAGCCTGTAATGAGAGTGGTATAGTAGCAGGCTGTGACCTCTGCCTCTAATAAAAAAGAAAGAGGCCATGTGGTGGGACACAGGAAGCTTCTGAGGCTGAATACTACCTGCCAGAAGTGCAGGACCCATGGGCACTGCCAGAGCTTTGTCACAACAGCAATACAGTTTTGTGAATGTCCTCCATTATCAAATTATACCTTCTTAAAAGAAAAACTCCCAGTTGACCTAAAAGCCTGTTAAATATTTTTGTGTGTGCGTGCATATTTCAGAAGGCTATTAGTAACTCTTATTTTTAGGAAGCTGTCATGTCCGTTTTGTAGGTCAGTAGATCACATCACCGTTTGAACTCTGTGGTTTAAAATGTACTTGTCAGTTCATATTTCCCGAGGCTTTCCGTATAGGGAGAATAAAACTACACTGATTCTGCAGCTAGAAGGCGTGTAACCAGTTTGGAGAGAGGGGCATGATCATCAGAAATCTCACATGTTTTTGCGTATTGTTCACGTACAGCAAAATGCTGATAGAACATTAATCACGGAATGTCTTCAGCAGTATTTCTGTCCTGCCCAGAAAATCCTTATGCACAGCAAAAAAATAAACAAGAGAAGTGGCTCATGGTGGTCCCATATCCTCTGCCCTTTTTGGTATAGTGTGAAGATTAAATTCTCTTCCCTCCATCATTCTACAATCTCTGGGGCACTAGAGGAGCACTTACAAGCTCTGTGTTGCAGTGACATGTTTATATTGTGTTGGATGTTTGGAAAGGTGTAGTCTCTTGGAATGGTACCTGACCTGAGAAAGCATGTTTAATACTGGCTGCTAGTCAAGGTTGTTTTGTTCTGTCTTGTTTACATGAGTTTATAACATGCACATTCGACTGTCTGCTGAGCCATTGCAACAACAACATAACATCTGAATCAGCTTCAGAAAAATCTTTTGGTTTAGACTTATTGCTGTGTTAATACTGGAGATAATGAGCTTACACAATATCATTACATTTCCACAACACAATCATCCACACAAATCCCACAAAACAATGGGATTAGTGTTAGGAGAGTGGAAGGTGGTTACAGAGACTTGAGTTCTATTTCCGGCTGTCACTGATTCCCTGGATCTGGTTACCACTAACTTGAATCTTGTGTTGATGGTTGCTTCAGAAGCAAAGTGAGTGTAAATCACAGCTAGCATATTACACTTATCTTGTATAGGTATACATAACACGGTATATAAAACAGCAGAGAATTAGTCTCCCTATAGGACCTAAGCAAGTCATTGCACCTTTATGCCTCAATTTCCACATCTGTAAAATGGGGATAAGACCTGCCTTGCTTCAAAGAACATTGTGAGGTTATTAACTAATGTTTGTAAAGTGCTGTGAGTTCCTTGGATAGATGGTACCTGTGAGGCAAAGTATGGTTGATATAGTTTGCTACATTCCAGTGTTTAGAGGAGGGAGCTTTGTCCCTTCAGATGGTCTCAGCAAGAAAATACAAAGCAATAAACATTTTGTATCCTCTGATGTTAGAAATTAATTTGCACTTGTGATTATGCAGCCCTCTGAACTGTTTCTGCCAGAGCTTTGTCACAACAGCAATACAGTTTTGTGAATGTCCTCCATTATCAAATTATACCTTCTTAAAAGAAAAACTCCCAGTTGACCTAAAAGCCTGTTAAATATTTTTGTGTGTGCGTGCATATTTCAGAAGGCTATTAGTAACTCTTATTTTTAGGAAGCTGTCATGTCCGTTTTGTAGGTCAGTAGATCACATCACCGTTTGAACTCTGTGGTTTAAAATGTACTTGTCAGTTCATATTTCCCGAGGCTTTCCGTATAGGGAGAATAAAACTACACTGATTCTGCAGCTAGAAGGCGTGTAACCAGTTTGGAGAGAGGGGCATGATCATCAGAAATCTCACATGTTTTTGCGTATTGTTCACGTACAGCAAAATGCTGATAGAACATTAATCACGGAATGTCTTCAGCAGTATTTCTGTCCTGCCCAGAAAATCCTTATGCACAGCAAAAAAATAAACAAGAGAAGTGGCTCATGGTGGTCCCATATCCTCTGCCCTTTTTGGTATAGTGTGAAGATTAAATTCTCTTCCCTCCATCATTCTACAATCTCTGGGGCACTAGAGGAGCACTTACAAGCTCTGTGTTGCAGTGACATGTTTATATTGTGTTGGATGTTTGGAAAGGTGTAGTCTCTTGGAATGGTACCTGACCTGAGAAAGCATGTTTAATACTGGCTGCTAGTCAAGGTTGTTTTGTTCTGTCTTGTTTACATGAGTTTATAACATGCACATTCGACTGTCTGCTGAGCCATTGCAACAACAACATAACATCTGAATCAGCTTCAGAAAAATCTTTTGGTTTAGACTTATTGCTGTGTTAATACTGGAGATAATGAGCTTACACAATATCATTACATTTCCACAACACAATCATCCACACAAATCCCACAAAACAATGGGATTAGTGTTAGGAGAGTGGAAGGTGGTTACAGAGACTTGAGTTCTATTTCCGGCTGTCACTGATTCCCTGGATCTGGTTACCACTAACTTGAATCTTGTGTTGATGGTTGCTTCAGAAGCAAAGTGAGTGTAAATCACAGCTAGCATATTACACTTATCTTGTATAGGTATACATAACACGGTATATAAAACAGCAGAGAATTAGTCTCCCTATAGGACCTAAGCAAGTCATTGCACCTTTATGCCTCAATTTCCACATCTGTAAAATGGGGATAAGACCTGCCTTGCTTCAAAGAACATTGTGAGGTTATTAACTAATGTTTGTAAAGTGCTGTGAGTTCCTTGGATAGATGGTACCTGTGAGGCAAAGTATGGTTGATATAGTTTGCTACATTCCAGTGTTTAGAGGAGGGAGCTTTGTCCCTTCAGATGGTCTCAGCAAGAAAATACAAAGCAATAAACATTTTGTATCCTCTGATGTTAGAAATTAATTTGCACTTGTGATTATGCAGCCCTCTGAACTGTTTATTCTAGCACATACCTGTCCTATAGGGGTATAGATTTGACTTTGTGAATTCCAGATAGAAGCTGAATTTTCAGTTTCCCAGCCCTGATTCTTCATTTTGGCTCAATTAAACACAGCACAGACATGAAGGCTGTTGAATGTGGTTTTATGTCACTTTTGCATCTCTCACATTCTGAGCCTGAGAACAGACCAATCCCCTGCCTAAGTGAGAGTAGCCTAGCATGCTGGTACAGTGCAGTCTGGCCAACTCTCTAGGCTAAGAGTTGCAAAGAGGTCAGCATAGAACTGTTTTAATGACCCTTCACCCAGAGGGAATTCCCAGAAGTATTCTCAACTGATGAGTTCTGCAGAGCTTGCATACAGAGGCCATGGCAGAGTACAGAATCAAGTCTACTGTTTTAAAAAGAAAAATGCAGAACGCTTAAAATTAGCTTTATGCCTTGTGTGTGAGCGGGGTTTTGTGCTCTTTCTTTTGTGCCTCTGATGATTCTGTGAGAGTGGTTTGCATTCCTCAGGGTATTTAATACAGTTCTTATTTGTTTTTGTTTTAAGCTGTCACTGGTTGAAAATCACTTGGCTCGGATAGAAGGGAGGGCATTAGTGAACATGTTCGATTTCCTGTCCAAAGAACTGGTGAGGCTTCAAGAAGAAAGGAAGATCCATGCTTTTGCCATGCTGGCTGAGAGGCAACGGCGCATCAGGGAAGCCGAGGAGAGTGGGCGCCGCCAGGTAGAAGAGAGACGTCGACGAGAAGAGGATGAGATCTTCAAACAGGCAAGTGGCGAAAACAGAATTCTTCAATCGAGCTAGCTACCGCCTCTTGAGAAGGTGGATTACCTACTTTCAAGTAGGAATAAGAGATCCTCCGGAAAAGGGCTTTATTCCAGAGGATCGCGCCAGTCTGGACGCTCTTTTCCGGCTTTTCCCCAAGCCGGAAAAAAAGCGGCGGCCATGTTTATTTAAATCCCGCGGGGGATATTTAAATCCCCCGCGGATTTCCCTATTCCAAAGTTAGAAATTAGCATGCCTCTTCTGAAGAAGGGGCCAGTGTAGACGTAGCCCTGGAGATTCTCTTCCCTTCCTTGCAAAAAATGTTTTATGTGGGGAAGCAAAGAGAACATAAGAACAGCAGTACTGGGTCAGACCAAAGGTCCATCTAGCCCAGTAGCCTGTCTGCCGACAGTGGCCAGCACCAGGTGCCCCAGAGAGGGTGGACCGAAGACAGTGATCAAGCGATTTGACTCCTGCCATCCTTCTCCAGCCTCTGACAAAAAGAGGCCAGGGACACCAATTCTATCCCCTGGCTAAAAGCCTTTTATGGACCTAACCTCCATGAAATTTTCTAGCTTCTCTTTAAACTCTGTTATAGTCCTAGCCTTCACAGCCTCCTCTGGCAAGGAGTTCCACAGGTTGACTACACGCTGTGTGAAGAAGAACTTTCTTTTTTTAGTTTTAAACCTGCTACCCATTAATTTCATTTGGCGTCCTCTAGTTCTTCTATTATGGGAACTAATAAATAACTTTTCTTTATCCGCCCTCTCCACACCACTCATGATTTTATAGACCTCTATCATATCCCCCCAGTCTCCTCTTTTCTAAACTGAAGAGTCCCAGTTGCTTTAACCTCTTCTCATATGGGACCAGTTCCAAACCCCTAATCATTTTAGTTGCCCTTTTCTGAACCCTTATATCAGTACTCACTCACCCCCTTTCTGACAGTTCTGCAGCTTAGATATGTCTGTTTGGGAAGCTGGGGGAGAGTCAACTCACTGGATATGTGGGGGCCTGAGGATGACTTGACTGCTTGGGGAGAGTTACGCTGACCATATGTCCTGTTTTTTCCAGGACTGTTCCAAATTTAAATGCTCTGTCCTGGTGCCCCATCAAGTAGTGAAATGTCCTGGAAAGTTCCGTCAGATGGGGGCACCAGCACAGCACAGCAGCCTTCTTTCCCCCACCCTACCTCAAGCAGGGTGCATTGGGCAGCCGGACTGGCTTCCAGTAGTGTGAGACCCTTCCTCTCTCCCTCCCCCACTACTCCTTGTGGGACTGCCTCTGCTGTGCGGAGTCCTGTTCTGGCAACCCCGCCTCCTTCTTCTCTGGGTCACCTTGGAGCCCGGCAGGAGCTGCACAGAGCCTGGCTGGGGCACTGCAGGGCAAGGCACACTTGGGCTTGGCAGGTGCTGGGGCCACCTGTGGAGCTATTTCTAGTGCTGCAGTCCTGGTCCCAGCAGGCATCCCTGACTCTAGCTGGAGTCAAGCAGCAGCCATGCGAGTCGCGTTCCAGTGGGGCTGCTATGGCTGGAACACGCCTCATGCAACTGCCACTTGATTCCAGCTGGAGCTGGGCAGCCTGTGGAGATTAGACTGGGGCACTGAAAATAGCACTGTGGGCTGCCCTGGCTCCAGCTGGAGTCAAGGGGCAGCCACGTGAGGCGCGTTCCAGCCAGGGAAGCCTCACTAGGATGCACCTCGTGCGGCTGCCGCTTGACTCCAGCTGGAGCCGGGCAGCCTGCGGGGACTGGGCTGCACTGCAGCACTAAAAATAGCACCACGGGTGGCCCTGGCTCCAGTACAGCAGAGGTCCCGCCCTGGGAGCAGCTGGGGCCAGGGCTGCGGGGAAGTCTGGGGCCAGGGCACAGACTCCAGCCCTGTTAAGTGGAAGAGGAGGGAAGAGACAGGGAGAGAACTAAGGGGAAGGGGAATGGGGAGAGGAAAGGGCTTGTGCTGAAGGGGGGGCAGGGCAGGAGAAGAAAGGGGCAGGCACCAAGGGGCAGGATGGAGGAAAAACATATGCCAGGGGGCCAAGAGGAGACAAGGATGGGAGGGGACAGGATGATGATGGGAGAGGAAAGGGGAGGGACAAGAGGGAGGAAGAGGAGAGGGGAGGAGTGGGTGCCTGGAGAAGAGGGGTTGAAAGGAGGGTTGGGCATGAGGAGTCATGTGTGAGGGCACAGAGAGACACGAGGAGAACTGGGGCAGAGGATGGTGAGGGTGTGGGCACCAGGGAAAAAGAGGGCAAGGAGGGCAGGGGCAGTGAGGGAAGGAGGAGGCACCTTCCCGGTGCAAGTGCCAGGGGATTGTGGGGGTGAAGCAGAAGGGCAGACACATGGAGGGGAGGGACGGGCACCAGAGGAGAGATGCAGGGTAGATAGAGGAAGGTTTCCTAAAGTTGCAGATAAACACATCATAGAATTTTCAAAGAAGATTTTCAAATCAAATCTCCATGCCAGATGATCAGAGTGGAGCTAGAGGAGGAGTGGGCACAGGGGGAAGAGAAGGGCTGCTGCAGGGGAGTGGGGCAGGTCCTAGTAGAGCTGAGGGCAGTGAGAAGGGCAGGAGTCAGGACAGCAGAGGAGGGTGAGGGGTGGGGGGCAGCAAACACCAGCGGAGCAGTTGGGGTGAGAGGAGGGGAGGAGACATGGCAGCAGAGGGAAAAGAGAGAGGTTTATAAGATATTTATTAATAAACTTGGGTGCCAAAGTGGCACACATCCGAATAAGCCACATGAACTCAATACTGGTGCACAAAACAAAATTCACTCCACTCATGGGAAGAAAATCTTAGAGGGAACACTTCCCCCAGCTTCTCCACACACACCCCTGTTTATGCAGTAAGAACATAAGAACGGCCATACAGGGTCAGACCAAAGGTCCATCTAGCCCAGTATCTTATCTGCTGACAGTGGCCAATACCAGGTGTCCCAGAGGTAGGGATCACAACAGGTAATCCTCATGTGATCCCTCCTCTGTCACCCACCTCTGGAGAAGTAGAGGCTAGGGACACCATTCCTACCCATCCTGGCTAATAGCCATTGATGGACCTAACCTCCATGAATCTATCTAGCTCTTTTTTGAATCCTGTTGAAGTTCTAGCCTTCACCGCATCCTCTGACAAGGAGTTCCATAGGTTGTGTCTGCGCTGAGTGAAGAAAAACTTCCTTATGTTCATTTTAAACCTACTGCCTATTAATTTTATTTGGTGACCCCTAGTTTTTATATTGTGGGAATAAGTAAATAACTTTTCCTTATTCACTTTTTCCACACCAGTCATGATTTTATAGACCTCTATCATACCTCTCCCCCCTTAGTCTCCTCTTTTCTAAGCTGAAAAGTCCTAGTCTTATTAATCTTTCTTCATATGGGACCCGTTCCAAACTCCTAATCATTTTTGTTGCCCTTTTCTGAACCTTTTCCAATGCCACTATTTTCAGTTATTTTAATTTATTTCAAAATACTTGTCAGCATAATTGAAAATGGTATGATTATATTGTGTTTTCACAAATGATGCAGAATTTAGAAATACTGTGTGCAGAATATTTTATTTATTTAGGTGCAGAGTATTGTTTGGCACACAATTACCTCAGGAATAAAGGATATAAAGGGCAGAGTTTGCTCCGTCTTCCTCTCCTTCTTACCATTCATGGCAAAAGATGTAGCTTACCATTTCTTCTTAGAAACTTATTTTTATCTTCACAGAGTGTTTTCACTAGCTTTTTGTGAACAGCCATAGTATCTTTCCCTTAAGGGATTTTTTTCTTTTATTCTTTTCATCTGTTTGTATTATGCAGAGATGTCCTGGATTCAAGCTGCATAGCATTTGTAAAGAAATTCCAGCTGATTGTTTTGTTTGGGAGAAAGGCATTCCATGTACAAGTACACTATTTGCTTGGGGTGTATGGGGTGTTCAGGGAGGGGTAGCACCTCTGATGTACGGGCATGTCGTGTCCTTTTAGGGCAGCTCGTCCACCTTTGGTCCCCACTTGTCACTCAACTCTCACCTGTGGCTCCTAGTAGCTGTAGCATGTGCAGCGGCCACACCCCGGGCAACAGCTTCGACAGGCTGGCTAAACCAGGTTGAGAGTAGCCGTCGGGTCATCGACCTTCGGTGAGATAGGGACTTGTCTATCCCGAGCATGTGAAGACAGACTCCGGCGGATCGAGCGGATGAGACCTACTAGAATAGGACCAACGGTCATGAAGGTGGTTTCTGCAAGCGATGTGGTACGCTAAGAGCACGGCAAGACATGAAAGATGCCCTGGTCAACCACTGCGCCCAGCCCATCTCCAACCGTCTCGACTTTAGTCCTGCCATTGGAGTAAGATGGAATCTGGGAAGAGAGAGTGAGGCTGACTATGCGCACCTCTCCCTCACTTTAATCCAATTCACGCGCAAGTCTTGACATCTCGACATCTCCTAAGTCCTGTGGCGACGGGCGAGCGACGAAGCAGCAGGTGTGGATACACTGGGAGCTGTAGCCGCGGACCTGCACACAGGCGGCTCAGGTCTAATGGTCGTCTTCTTGCTGGTGGAAGCAACAGCTGGATTCGGCGTCTACCTGAGTGACTGAGCAGCCCTCTTTAGGATTGCACTGCTCACCTCCGTAGTAAGAGGAAGGGGCTAGAAAAGGTGCCCTAAACATTGTTTGCTTCACAGAACCCTGGCCAGCTTACCGCGGCTGGAGGGGATCCCATCTCATGCGGTCGAACAATAAAATTTCGAACAAAATGCAAGGTGACACCACTCACTATTGGCACATGGAATGTACGCACGCTTCAGGACAACCCTTCAGCAGACCGCCCAGAAAGAAGAACAGCCCTGGTCGCCAGAGAGCTCACAAGATTTAACATCGATATTGCGGCACTGTGTGAAACTCGTCTAGCAAATGAAGGTCAGCTCATGGAAACAGGAGGTGGTTACACATTCTTCTGGCGTGGACGCAGCAGTGACGAACGTCGTGAATCTGGAGTTGGCTTTGCGGTTAAGAATCATCTTGTCCGCAAACTTGCCAGTCTTCCCAAGGGCGTGAATGACCGACTCATGACACTGCATCTTCCACTACCGAGAGGAAAGCAAGCCACACTGATCAGCGCTTACGCGCCCACAATGACGAATCCGGATGAAGTAAAGGACAAGTTTTATGAAGATCTCGATGCCCTACTCTCATCCGTGAAGCGCACTGACAGGCTGATTCTACTTGGCGATTTCAACGCGAGAGTAGGATCTGATCACACTGCCTGGGATGGCGTCATTGGAAAAAATGGAATCGGTAAATGTAACAGCAATGGCCTACTATTACTGAAGACATGTGCGGCTCATGATTTGATCATCACCAATACCATCTTCCGCCTGCCCACTCGCAAAAAGACGTCCTGGATGCACCCACGCTCTAAGCACTGGCATCTCATTGATTATGTCATTGTGCGGAGGAAAGACAGACAGGATGTAAGGGTGACCAAGGCCATGCCGAGTGCTGACTGTTGGACTGACCACAGACTTATCATCTCCAAATTAAGCTTTCGCATCAAGCCAAAGAGACGTCCGCAGGGAAACAAAGCTGTGATGAAAAAGATCAATGTCAGTAGACTGAGGAACCCCAACACAGCAACTTTACTAGCAGAAGATCTTGGCAACCAACTTTTAGAGCTGCAATTAGAGGAAAATGCTGAGAAGGACTGGGAACGCTTCCGGGATATTGTGCACTCTTCTGCACTAAAGGTTCTTGGACCCTCACACAGGAAACAGCAGGACTGGTTTGATGAAAACGATGAAGAGATCAAGGCCATACTTGCTGAAAAGCATCGCCTTCACCGTGCTCACCAGAATGACCCATCGTCAACAGCTAAGAAAAATGCCTTCAACAACATTCGCAGGATCGTACAGAACAAGCTTCGTAAGATGCAGGACTCCTGGTTGAGTGCCAAAGCAGATGAAATCCAGAAGTTTTCTGATAGAAACGATGCCAAACGGTTCTACGAAGCCCTTAGATCCTTGTATGGACCTCAGCCCTCAGGGAGTTCCCCTCTACTGGACTCAGATGGTGCAACTCTCATTACTGAGAAGGCTCTGATTTTACAGCGTTGGGCTGAGCACTTCCAATCCGTACTGAACCGCCCATCTTCCATCAATAACGAGGCGATTGATAGAATGCCCCAGGCGGATATCAACCACAGCCTGGATGTCTCACCATCAGAGACTGAAACCTTACAGGCCATCAGCCAGCTGTCCAGTGGCAAGGCCCCAGGATCTGATGCGATTCCAGCGGAAGTCTATAAGGGTGGTGGTGCAGTGCTTGTCAACAAACTCACTCAGCTGTTCCAGTCCTTCTGGAATCAAGGATCTATTCCTCAGGAACTGAAAGACGCGTCTATCGTACACCTCTACAAGAGGAAAGGAAATCGACAAGTTTGCGATAATCATAGAGGAATATCACTGCTTTCCATCGCAGGTAAGATCCTTGCACGAGTGTTGCTGAATCGTCTGATTAACCACCTGGAACAGGGTTTATTACCCGAGACACAGTGCGGCTTCCGCAAAGAGCGTGGCACGGTGGATATGATCTTCGCAGCCCGACAGCTTCAAGAGAAGTGTCAAGAGCAGAATCGTGAACTGTACACCACCTTCGTGGATCTCACCAAGGCTTTTGACACTGTCAGTCGCGAAGGTCTGTGGCGCATCATGTCGAAGTTTGGGTGCCCTGACAGATTCATCTTGATGGTACGTCAGTTCCACGACGGCATGACGGCTCGTGTTTTGGATGATGGAGAAGCTTCAGAGGCCTTTCCCGTCACAAACGGCGTCAAGCAAGGGTGTGTGCTGGCACCGACCCTGTTCAGCATAATGTTTTCAGCCATGCTGTCAGACGCCTTTCAGAACAGTTCCTTGGGAATCAGACTGAGATACAGGACCGATGGGAAATTGTTTAACCTGCGAAGACTCCAGGCTGTCACCAAGATAAAAGAGACTGTGTTACGAGATCTCCTTTTTGCTGATGACTGCGCCCTGAATGCTGGATCAGAGCAGGAAATGCAAGCCAGCATGGACAAATTTGCAGCAGCATGCGACAACTTCGGCCTTCTCATCAACACAAAGAAAACCGAAGTGATGCACCAGCCAGCTCCAAAAGCTCAGCATCAAGTGCCCACCATCACAGTGAAGGGACAAAAGCTGCAAGCAGTGGACCAATTTACATATCTTGGCAGCACCCTCTCCCGCTCAGTGACAATTGACATCGAGGTCAACTGCAGAGTCGCCAAGGCAAGCTCTGCGTTCGGCAGACTGTTGACCAAAGTGTGGGACCGCCGTGGAATAAGCCTTGCTACAAAGCTTAAAGTCTATTGAGCAGTAGTGTTAACTACCCTGATGTACGCCAGTGAGACTTGGACTGTATACAGGAGGCACGCTAGGCAACTGAACCACTTCCACACGATTTGCCTCCGCAGACTTCTGAGGATCCGGTGGCAGGATAAGGTGCCAGACACAGAATTCCTTTCTAGAGCAGGTCTGCCGTCAGTTTACACCCTGCTGATGAAAGCTCAGACACGCTGGGCAGGCCATGTTGCAAGGATGCCAGATCATCGCATCCCTAAACAGCTCTTCTATGGTGAGCTGTTTCAAGGGAAGCGATCGCACGGGGGACAAAAGAAGCGATACAAAGATACGCTTAAAGCCTCTCTCAAGTCCCTGGATATTGACACCACCTCCTGGGAGACCCTGGCACAAGACCGATCAACATGGCACACGCTGATCTACCAAGGCTGTCAAACATCTGAAGCCAGAAGGACAACCATAGCACAAGAGAAGCGAGCACTCCGTAAAGCCAGAGTTGCAAAAGCTGCAACAGTGGTGCCCACACATGTCTGCCCGACCTGTGGTAGAACATTCCGTGCCCGTATCGGCCTTATCAGCCATTTGCGGACACACCATGAACAGTCCATAACCCGTTAGATGTCAAGGTCCTCTTCGAATACGATGGACGAACAACAACAACACTATTTGCTTATTCTTCAAGGGTGTGGTGCCTGAGGAAGCACCTTATTAAGCAGGTGATGAGACCTTCCTCGGCATCAGAAATCTGAAATAACTTTAACCAAACTGCTTCTGTTAAAACCTCTCAAATGTCTGGTGAAAAGAGTTGTTTTTCTCATTCTTCAGATCAGTTGGATTAGAGGGGCTATTCAGAAGACCAAGAAATCCTGCCTTCCTCATCTGAAAAAGATTTGGGAATTATGGTGAATAAATAACTGAATAGGAGCTCCCAGTGCCGTGCTGAGGCCAAAACGGTTAATGCAATCCTTGGATGCATAAACAGGGGAATCTTGAGTAGGAGTAGAGAAGTTATTTTCCTGGTGCAGTTGCTGCTGGAACAGTGTCAGATTCAGGAAGGATGTTGATAAATTGGAGAGAGTTCAGAGAGGAGCCACAAGAACGACTAAAGGATTAGAGAACATGCCTTAGACTTGAGAAGCTCCATCTGTTCAGCTTAACAGACAAGGCTAAGGGTTGATTTGATTACAGTTGTAAGTACCTACCTGGAGAGCAAATATTTAATAATGGGCTCTTCAATCTGAGAAAGGAGTAACAGTCCAGTGGTTGGAAGATGAAGCTAGAGAAATTCAGACTGGAAGTAAGGTGTAATTTTTTTAACTGAGAGTAATTAACCATTGGTGGACACTGTCACTGACAACTTAAGATTTAATGGTGTTTTTTTTTTTAAAAGATCTGCTGTACGAATTATTTTGGGGATGTTCTGTGCCCTCTATTATACAGGAGATTACAGTTTTGCCTTTGGCATGCGTCATTCTCTGTACTTGTTTCTGTACAACTAGATCTGCAGGAAAAGGCCATTAGAGAAGGAATCCTTATGCTATGGATTTTTCTACATTGCAGCTGGAAGCATGCTTAAACTATAGTGCTAAAAATGGCAGCTTTGCTGTAGCTTGGTTATCTGCCTGTGTATCATGGGGGTATGGACAAGTTTGTAGTCAAACTGCTAGCCTAATCCATTCGCTGTGCTAGCCCAGCTACACTGCTGTTTTTAGTGTGTTAGCTTGAGCAGAACTAGTATGCGTGTCTACACTAGAAAGCACACTTCCAGGTGCAGTGTAGATATACCCTCATACACTGAACATGCCTTCTAATCAAGGTGCCTTCAGATACCCATATTAAGTGGCGAGTCTTGGCTGACATGCCTTGGTCCTTGCCTCTCTCCACAGATGGTCCCAGCAAGTGGGTACTACTCAGCAATGAACATTTTGTATCTTGAATAAGAGACATATGTTGGTGCTTGTTTCAGGTGGTTAAAGTGCACCAGAGTACTGTTGATTCTTACCTGGAAGATGTTATTCTGAACAGCATGGAGAACACAGCTGAAGAAAAAGCCAGGGAAGAGATTCAGAAGGTGGCTGTGGAAATCAATGACATCGCTTATGAAATGGAAAGCTGGTATGTCCTGGAGTGGACAAAGTACATTTAGACACTGTGTTGCACAATTCAGACCCTGGCTGGCTAGTTAAATTTTAGCCTAGGGCCAGCACTGAGGGTGGGGGGGAAAGCGATTCATAACATTACATGGACATGCTGCAGTTTTTATCCACTATGGAGGCTCAGCCAGTTGTCTCATAGACTTTAAGGTACCAGAAGGGACCATTATGATCATCTAGTCTGACCCCCTTCACAGTGCAGGCCACAAAATCTCACCCACCCCTCCTAGAATAATCTTTTCACCTCTATCTCAGATACTGAAGTCCTCAAATGGTTTAAGGACCCCAAGATGCAGTGAATCCTCCAGCAAGTGATCCGTGCCCCATGCTACAGAGGAAGGCGAAAAACCTCCAGGGCTTCTGCCAATCTACCCTGGAGGAAAATTCCTTCCCAACCCCAAACATGGCCATCAGCTGAAGCCTGAGCATGTGGGCAAGACTCACCAGCCAGACACCCAGGAAAAAGTTCTCTATAGCAACTCCTCTTTAAATATATTAGAGGGATAAATACCAGGGAGGGAGAGGAATTATTTAAGCTTAATACCAATGTGGACACAAGAACAAATCAATATAAACTGGCTATTAGGTCTACTGGGATCTTTTGCTCCCTTGGAAGGCTGTTCCAGAACTTCACTCCTCTGATAGTTAGAAACCTTCGTCTAATTTTGAGTCCAAACTTGCTAATAGCCAGTTTATATCCATTTGTTCTTGTGTCCACATTGGTATTAAGCTTAAATAATTCCTCTCCCTCCCTGGTATTTATCCCTCTAATATATTTAAAGAGAGCAATCATGTCTCCCCTCAGCCTTCTTTTGGTTAATGTAAACAAGCCAAGCTCCTTGAGTCTCCTTTCATAAGACTGGTTTTCCATTCCTCGGATCATCCTAGTGGCCCTTCTTTGTACCTGTTCCAGTTTGAATTCATCCTTCTTAAACATGGGAGACCAGAACTGCACACAGTATTCCAAATGAGGTCTTACTAATGCCTTGTATAACGGCACTAACACCTCCTTATTTCTACTGGAAATACCTCGCCGTATTAGCCTTTTTCACAACAGCTCCTAAAAATACTCCGATATAATGGTTCCCAGTGAAGGTCAGATACGGCAAGGAAGAATCTATTCCTGGTATCTGTGCTGATGTGCCCTGACACCAAGATGATAGTTTCCCATTGTTCCCCACAAATCCTCTACACGGAGATATTCAAAGGCATGTAAGAGAGTTAGACACCTATGTCTTGTTGAGGTTCAATGGAAGCTGTCCACCTAACTTCCTTATAGTCCTTTGAAAACACCAGCCTCAGAGAACAGTTAACATGCAGGTGTCCTTTAATCTAGAAACTGGCCTGTCCTATAAGCATTAAAAGGGGTTTTAGAGCAGATAGGCTTTGAAGGAAATAAAGCAGACAGAGGATCCTCTTATGAATAAACCCACATTTTATTCAGAAGTCAAAACAAGTTGCTTTTTAAAAGAACTTGTTAATCTTAACAGGATCTGCCCTATTGGCTACTCCTTGTGTGGGTCTGGCCTGAGTTCATCATGTTGCTGAAATCATCAGTGGGTTGTTCAGTTGTGCCTCATAAGTGATTGTCTTTTAGGAGATGCCACTCCTCCAGGTCAGTGTCTCTGATCCCTTATGGCATTTAGGTTATGTCATTCTGATTTTTAAGGCTATCTACACGGTAAAAAAAATCTGCGCTGTATAGCTACGTGAGTTTTCCCAAGGTCTTTAACCTTCTGCTAGGGCACATAATTCATTCAGCCTCTGGCCTAGTTAGAAGCATTACAAACAAACAAGTAAAAATATGCTCTCTGAGGGCTAAGACCTAACAATGAACTACAGTCTGTGTTTAAAGTAGTCTCTTGACCAATATTCCTTTTCTCGCAGTGGCTGAGTAACTCTTAGTTAGAATATCCAGAAAGACCAAGGCACTGGTTTTCCTTGTCATCTTAGGGGAAGGTTAATTATAGGGGTTCTTTTGTCCCTCTCCAGTAAGTCTTTGAAAAGTATATAACTCAAAGTTCATTGACCCTGCCTTAAGAGGCAAGAGGGCTTCCTGGGAGTGCAGACTCCATCACCTGTTGACATTAAATGAACTCTTCCTCCCCCCCCCCCCCCCCCCTTTACTCAATCTCCTCATTTTTTTTGCCTGGCATGCAAAGGGTTTTTCTTTGCTGTTGGTCATACTTTGTCCAATTTAAAGGGGAAACACATTTAAAAAGGCAGAACCATATATATCCCTTTGTCAGAAAAAATGTTTATTTCCCCCTGGCATTGCTGGTTTACACACATTAGTCTTAATTCCAGCACATCTGTATAATCTCTTGTGGATTGACCATAGTTGTAGCATGCAAAAATATTAATGATCAGCGAGTTATTAGTTTTCTGGTAACATATTACATGACATGGTTAAAATGTAGATTATAACAATGAGTTGGGTTAGACTAGCTGAAATTCAATGCTAGATATTAGTGAGTCCATTGCCTTGTGGCATAGGAATGCTCTTAGGGTCATGGCTGTGTACCGATTTTTATAGATAAACTAAGGCCTTCACTTTCCTTGTCTGACAATTTTTGCCAGCACTAAACTCACTTCAAAATAGTTAAGAGGAGAGAGTGTGCGGTATATTGGTGCCTGGGGAAGTAAAATAATATATGTTAATTTCATTCTGTTTGTTCTGTAGCCGAACTCACCTGCAATCAGAAGAGATTGTAGCAGAGTTGGTTTATGGCTTCCTGATACCTGAAGTTCAGAAAATAGCTGTCAAGGAGAAAGGTAAGGAGTCCAATAGCTTTGTTTCCTCCTTAAACTGAGACTTACTGGCTGAATGGTCCATCTGCCAGGAGTTTCTGTAGAGTCTACACTAGGGATGTTAAAGACTAGTCGATTTCCTCCCCCTCCCCTTGCTTCCTCTATATGAGAGAGGCAGCTAAAGGGGGAGGGAGAGGAAAGGGTACTTCAAAGTAGCAGTGCAGCACAGCTGAGCCAGGGATGAGCTTTGAAACCCCAAGCAAGTGTTTCAAGGGGGCAGTAGCGGCGCTGCACCTTTAAAATTCCAAAGGGCCCGTGGAGCCCGGGGTCAGCTGGGGACTCTCCAGCTAACCCCAAGTTCTGAGAAGCTTTTCCCCAGAACCCGAGGTCCCAGCTGACCTCAAGTTCTGGGGAAATGCTGTGTGGAGCCCAGGATCAGCTGCGGAGTCCCAAGCTGCCCCCAGGCTCCATGGCTGCCCCTTGGAAACACGCAGATGCAGTGTTTCAAAGGGGCAGGTGCCGCACAGCTGATCCCTGGCTCAGCTGTGCAGCGCTGCCCCTTTAAAACACCACCTTGGCACTCCACTCTGGCACTGCTAAGCATTGAATCTCTCCTGCTCTTGCACTGTCCCACCCCACCTTGCCCTGTCAGTCCCTATGGCCCTGCCTCTACCAGTCCTCGGTGTTGAAGTAGTCTTCTGCAGTGGTGGCTGCTGGGGAGGGACACAAGAAGGGCACTGGCCACATGACCATCTCTCTCATGATTCCTCTCTGCACCACCTCTAGCCCACGGGAGGTCCCAGTCAGAAGCTGCTGCAGCCCGGGAAGAGATGTCTGGCCCCAGGTCACGATCCCCTACTTCACCCAAACTCCCTCTCAGATCCCATACCCCAATCTCTTACCCTACGCTCCCTTCTGCACCCAACTTCCATCCCAGACCCCCTCACCTCCTCCATTAATATCATGGAAGAGTGAGGCCCTCAATCACTTACATTCTTGGAGTTGCCCTCATAAATTATTGCCCAACCCTGTGTTAATGGCTTACAGTAAGAAAGAAAAAGATTAACAGATTTTTTGGGAGTGTTGCAGATATCTAAAACTCCAATCTTGATGATTTTTTTTAAATCCTGTGTTACTAATCATACATAATAAACTATTGATTAAGGCAAAATCTTTGCTATCCGGTAGAGCTCTGGCTCTTATGAGCCAGAAGCAGAACTGCTAGGTGTGCTGCTAGCTGTTTTGTAGGATGAAACCTTATTTGCAAGATCTTTGAAACCTGCATCTGTCTGTTGGAAAGGATGATGATGTGTGTACTCCAAGGTATCTGAGTAACCATGTTAGCCTGTAACTAAAAAAAAAATGGTCCTGTACCATCTTAGACTAACAAATATATAACTAGTATCATTAGCTTTTGTCGGCACAACCCACTTCTTCAGCCAAGGGTAATGTTAATTTTCTTTATTTGCTTTCATATTAAATAAACATAAGTATTACTCCTTGTTAATTATCCCTTGTTTTAATATATTTTCTTCCACACCTATGGACTATTTAATATATATTTATTAACTACAGTTTTTGTATTGGTGGGAGCATATCCATACACTACCTCAATATTAGTGTTGCACATAAGAAATTTCAACCTGCCCAAAAGAAAATTCAACCGCCCAAGGATAGAAAAATCTTAGAGGGAACACTGGTCCCATGTCTTTCTACTAACAACCTCTGCTTGGGCTTACAGGAGAAACAAGGGTGTTTACAAGTCATTGAGTTGATCACCCAGTCATTAGACTTCCCAATAGTGGAATTCTCATTGGCACATTTAAAATTATAAACAGACTCACACTTCGTATTTCTAACTTTACCTACAGGAATGATGCATGCACCAAAATAGCATAGGCAGAGACCCAGCAGATTGTAGCATTACAATCTATTTGATCTAAAGCACCTTTGAGTTTTGCATATTTATTTTCATAAAGTACAGGAGTCGTGGGAACCTGTCATGTACAAACTGCTTTTGTCAAGATTGGCCAGCTCAAAATGTGGCCAGATGTTTTCAGAGCTTAGCTTGCTCTGCAGCCAAGCTCCAGCTTTCAGTGTTGCTGTGATATTTGACTTTTAAAGAAACCCCCCCTGCCAGATAGCTGAGTGCCTGGGAGACACTCCAGCCAAAGAGATGGACACCGAGCTAATGATCACTCCCTGTGGCTTCCTCGTAGAAGGGATGAGATTCTGCATCTGCTACCCTCATTGTGGGAAGGAAGGGGGGAGTGTGATAGGGCCAAAAGCTATGCTTTCCCTTTCCTCACCCTGATTCCACAAAACCCCTTTGTATAGACTCCACATATGAATGGGGGAGAGCAATCTACTTGTCATCAAATATGAGATGCAGGTAGAGCTACGGGGGAGAGCTTCTCTGCATGTTATCCTACAGCAACTCCCCAGGGAAACATCTGCCTCTGCTATCATTCACTCCCCCTAGTTTCCCAACCCCTATAGGTAACCTCCCAGAGGGCCACTTCACTGCCTGTTCCAAGGGAAGTGTGTGCGCTGTGGGGTGGGAACTCAAAATTGATTACATGAAGGAAAGAGTTTCAACTCCTGGAGTTTCTTGGACCTTCTATAATTTTATCCTATGTAGGGCACTAACCCAGTCCTGGCAAATAATACAGTCCTGGCAAATTAAACTGGGGCTTTAGACAGGACAAATACTCACCTTTTTAGATAGAATTTCAGTAGAAGTGGATGAAGGGAGTGCAACAGCTCTATGGGATTTAGCATTTGGTGCAGTATTCCCCCAAATGAAATCAAATAGCCTTGGAAGGAGGAGCATTGCCATGTGGATTGAAAATTGACTGAAGAAAACAAATGAGAGCAGATCACTGCTGCAGGGCTTCATGTTAGATCCAGTCTTACCTTACATCTTCATTATGGGTCTGAAAGATGAGCAGTCAGCACATTAAAGATATTCAGACATGCTGTTGTGATTTCTAGCTACATTGTCACAACCACTATGTTGGAGTTACAGTAAGTGAGAGCTACAGGATTCAATGTGGGTTTCTGTTTCCATTCAGCCATGACTTGACTCAGAGTAGATGGACCTGGACCATCCTGGGACTTTTGCCTGTACAACCAAACACTTTTTAAAATCATAGTTGGGAAGGGGAAGAGTGTACTAATATCTCAAAGCTATAAACACTGAGGGAACTACAACTAATGGGATAAAATTAAGGAAAGGAAAATATAGACTGAATGCTTTAGACTGGGGAATTATCAGCCAGGCAAAGGACGGCAGTGTTTGACTAGCTGAAAACTATAAAATGTACAGTTAGAAATAATAGTGCATCAGCCCAGGAAGATAAAGTAGGTGATTTTTGTGGGTCTGTTGTGTCTTCAGTTTCAGTTCTATTTTGCACTCAGCATTCATCAGCAAACCTACAACAACAAAGCAGTAGCCTCCAGTAAACTCAGCTTAACACTCATAAGGAATCCTGTAACGACAAAGCTGTGAAAAGCCAGCATGTGCACCAGTGCTAGAATAAAAAAAATCCTGTGGTTGAGATGCACTTTCAAAAATTAGTTTCAGTAGTCAAATAGTGACGGGGAAATGATTTTACAATACAGGAGTGTGCTTCTCTCACTTTTGCCCTGAATAGAAAAGCAACACACTTGACAATTCTTCCCATTTCCACAGCGTACCTTCAAAGCAAAATGCAAGGTTTCTTGCTGCTATTAGATGGCAGTAGAACACTATCAGCCAAAAGCAGAAGCGTGTAATTTTTTTCTGAGATAGGCTCCTGTAAGATAAGAGCTGCTTTTTTGGATGAGGTGAGAGGTCCATTTAGAGAGTTAATGCAATACAGCTCCAAGTGAATATCCTCTCTCTCTTGCGTACAGTGAGGCAGTCTCAGCGGAAACACATCAGTGCTGCTCATCAGATCATTCACAGAAGCACAGACATAGCAGTGGCTCAGAACTCTTCAGTGGAGGGACAGCAGGCACTGGGTAATGGGGAATCTGTGACCAAGACGCCAGGGAGTCCTCCTCCTGTCGCAGCCAGTTCTGCTGTCCATGGAACAGCTGCTGAAGAGAGTGCGGCCGAAGTTACAGAGAGTTCTTATGCTGTGCTCACCAGCCAAGTACAATATGAAACAGTGCATGTAGAGACCCAGGCTGCTGTAGCCCCTGCAAAGAGAGAGGAGTCAGGTGAGTTCAAGTTTGTGGTCTGTTTTCCTTGCTCCAGTAATTGGAGTTCAGCCCCAGGGGAGGGAAGGAAATTGCATCTGCTTTCTTTAGGGCACCATCCTGACTATACACAGGATGGAGAAGCACCTCTCCCCCATTGGAACCTCCCTAAAGGACAGCAGTGTTTGGATCCTTTGCAGACTGCCAGCTCTGTTGCCTGGAAGCAATCCTTAAAGCATTACATCATAAGCATTCCTGTCTGAAGCAGTCTGTCACTGGTTTTGGTTTAACCCAGGAGATTTTTACTGTCTAAGCCTTAAAGATATAGGCCTTGTCTACACTAGCATGTTTTGTTACCAACAACTGCCTTTTGTTGACAAAACAGTGAGAATGTACATACTACCATGCAACTTCTGTCAGGGTTGGGGGCGAGGGGGACAACACCCAGTTTTGGCAACAAAATATTTCCAGCCCCACGAAAGCATTTTGTCTTTCCCCTCCCTTTATTATTGACAAGAAGCCAATGTGGATTCTGTTTGTGGGATACTGGTGGAAGCCAGTTCTATCTACAAAACAATGCCTGTCCTGATGGCTATGGTCAGTGTTTTGTGATCTATGATGCCCTGCAGGCCTGCGCCTCTCCTCTTTCAAAGCTCTGGGAAGTATCTGACAGCCAAGTGAGCTGCTCTGTTTTGAGTACAAACAAAAAGAGCAAATCATTTGAATGCTTCTGTTTTGCCCTTCTAGAAACACAGTAGCAGGCAGACTGCTGCTGTAGGGGAAGGCTGGAGAGACTGCAGTGCTGCTTTGACTTTCCTCAGCATGGAGAGCTCACAGAGCTACTTGTGATGCTGCTCTCAGCAGCTGAAAATGCTGTGGGAGAACTCAGAGAGAATCCCAAGAAATGCAGGGGTCAGCTCTGCCATCCCACAACACTGCTCTGTGGAATGCTTACCCACATTGCTAGCTCCCCTATTGACAGACAGAGCAAAGCAATGTAGCCATGATATGGTGACAGTGGGAGGCAGAAAAAAGTTTGACCAGTTTTCGCTTTTGCAAGTCAACAGCACTTTTGCCACCAAATCTTCCTAATGTAGACATCCACACACTACCTCAATATTGGTGTTGCATATAAGAAATTTCAACGAGCCCAAAAGAAAATTTAACCGGCCAAGGATGGAAAATCTTAGAGCCATAGTTTAACTAATAAATAGCAAAATTCCCCTTATGGTTGCCAAGGGATGGGAAGTTTGTACTAGTTACACCTCTTCCTTGTTCTGCCACTGTTCTACACTTAAAAGTTTGAAGTGCAGCTGCGACAGTGCTCTCACAGCCACGCTTTAAACTGAAAGTGTGGCCTCAAAGCGGTATCTACACTGTACTATGTTAGTGGGAGACACTCTCCTGCCAACACAGCTTTCACCTCTCACTGAGATGGAGTAATTACTTCAATAGGCGAGTGCTGTCGACACAATGCTGCTTTTTCAGATGTGATAGATTGGTGCTGGTGTTTCAAAGGCAGTGATGCTGATTTAACATGGTAGTGAAGACAAGCCCTGAGTAACTGCTAATGCAGATTGTAATTCTATCCTTTTGAAATGCAAAATTTTAAAAAAAAGATTCAAAACTCAACAGTGCATTACAATAGAATTTTTGCATTAAATACCCTTTTGATTTGTTTTTTATTAGGGGGAGAATAAAAGAGAAATGAAAGAATGGTGAGTGAATACATTGTATGTATATATTCCTGTGAGCTTTGAGTCAGATGGGGGCTTGAGAGAGGAAACAAATAAAAAACAAAGCCATCTGACTACCCACTGAAATAATCACTGGTCTGCAGGTGCTGTGCCCATATATGAATGCTGGCCTAAAGGATAGCTGGATTTTATTGCAGAATTAGAGGCAGTGCAGAGTAGAGTGATAAAAATGATTAAAGATAAGGAAAAATTCTCCAGTGAAGTAAGAAGAAAAAGATTGGGATGTATCTTAGAAAGGGGATGAAAAAGAGAGGACATGATAAAAGTATACTCAAAATAATGACTGGTCTAGAGAACATAGAGCAGGCATTTCTCCCTGTCTTGTAACGTGAACAGATAGTCAAAGATATTTGAAAGTAGTGAATGCAAATCTAACTTAAAAAAATGTTTTCACCCAATACATAATTGGAAAGTAGAACTCACTAGCACAGGTTGTCTTCAAACCAAGGATTCATCAAGAGTCAGGCTTTGGATACTTACATGAATAATAAAAACAGTCAGACTTTCAAAAGTTAATGTTAACAAAAGTTTAGAAGGAAATAAAATCCAGTGCTTCAGTGTTTAAATAAATCTCTACTAGGGATTAGGATGAGGCCTTCATTATGTGCTATGTTGTGTGTGATACATTTTTAATGGACAAAGTGTTCAAGACCGTGTTCTGCTCATAAAAGCAGCCTCCTGGACTCGATATTAAGTATACAGGAGGGGGTAGACTCCAGGTGTGTAAGGACGCTAATCTTTAAACATCCTGATTTTAGTTGTGTTTTAAGGGACACTATCTAGTGCCGTGGTCCCCAACCTGGTGCCCGCAGGCGCCATGGCGCCCGCCGGACCCTTTACATGCGCCCACGGAGCAATCTGA